CGCACTGCTCCAAGAGCTTCGCCAACACCTCCTACCTGGCTCAGCACCTCCGTATCCACTCGGGGGCCAAGCCCTACAACTGTTCCTACTGCCAGAAGGCCTTCCGCCAGCTCTCCCACCTCCAGCAGCACACACGGTAAGGGAGAGTGGCGGGCTACGGCCCCCGCCCTGCTGGCATGCCCTCCCCACCCCCGCCCCGGACACACACAACAACCCGCATGCGGGGGGCGGGGGAGAAACCTGGCTGGAGGAGAGACCTGGCTGGAGGAGAACACGACTGGCGTCTGGGAAGAAGTACAAGCAGCAACATGGAGCTTGAGGAATACATGGATGCTCAGAGAGAGCCTTTCTGAGTCAAAAGCTACATTGGGGAGATGCAGTGACTGATATTCCTGGATGCATGGGAGGAAGAGATTGATCTGGAGCAGAGACAACTTTATTTTCCTCATTTCCTTCCTTGAAAATATCCATGCACATATCTTGCAAGGTTTTCTCCTTGATGCCGAAGCTGGGGCATTTGAAGATGTTACCTCTAGTCCTTAGAGCACTGCTTATGAATGGGAGATACAGACTTTAGCTCGGTACCAGCCTGGTGACAAAACAACAAGCAAGCTTCAAGGGATGCCAGGAGTAGTGAACAAAACCAAACATGTCTTAAATCTTAAAGAGTCACAAACAGTGTAAAAGCTCATACTTCGTAAGGATGTCTACTGTTCGTACCATGAATCTGGAGTGACTAGGAGGAAGTGAGCCTGCCAACTAGAATTGATGTCATTTAATGTATCTCACGTTGAAGTGGAGTTCAAGACTCTTAATAGACACCTGGCTGCTTCTGGATGTGGTGATCTTAAAGTGGTCCGACACCGTGCTTTGTGAAGAGGAGTCTGGCTTTCCTCACAAGGAGACACTTCCTGTGATGCTTTCAAGAGTTTATACCAGACGTCCAGAAAACCACCTGGTCACGAAGATGGTTCTGAAGTCCCTAATGAGGAGCAGATGTTCATGCACCATAAAGTCCTTGGCTCATTTCAGTGGAGGACCCTGTAGAGATTGGAAAAGAGGTCAAAATTGATACTAAACTAGACATTTCCTGCCATTAGGGGGCTGTACTGGGAAAAGCCTAAAGGAGTTTGTACAAGTATTCATATCACATACTTTCCGCAATTATCATAACTGTATTTTTCTTTGACACTGGGACTTTTCTCTGGGAATAGTGCTTGAGGTTGAAGAGATAGTTTCTAATTGGATAGTGGGGGCCAAGGAAAAAGTGTTACGTGTTTCTTTTTCCCCTACCATTGTGTTCACCTTATGTTTCTGAGCATTCATCAGAGACAGTTACTGTAAGGGCTTTCTTGTATACCAGATTGTGACTGCCTGTCCCTGGGCTGCTGTGCCACCCATCCCTCCTCCCCCAGCAGAGAGGAGCCCATCTTGAGCTGAGTGATGGCAGGCAGTGAGCAGAATCAGGCACTACAGCCTGACCCGTGTCAGAGAGCAGCTGAGGTATCCTGGAGACCCATCTCGTACTTCTCCCACTCCTCTGGGAGGGCAGGAGTGTCCTTGAGGAGGCTTGTTAAAGAGCCAATCCCCAAGTGGCCTTGCTGACATCCTTTTCCTTTCTTGTTTTCTCATCCCGTGCAGAATCCACACCGGTGATAGACCATACAAATGTGTACACCCAGGCTGTGAGAAAGCCTTCACACAGCTCTCCAATCTGCAGGTAAACTTTCCTCCTTCAGCATGAGGCCTTGACTTTAAGACTCAGGGTCGAAATGCCATTTGACTAATATAGCAGTTCTCAAATGTCTTCAGGACCCCTTCGCATTTGTAGTAATTATTGGGGAACCCAAAGAGCTTTTGTTGATGTGGGTAATATCTATCTACATAGATGTTGTGAAACTGAAAAACTGGAGAAGATATTTAGTAATTCATTTAAAAAATAGCAAACCCATTGCAAAACACAAACAGCATTCCCAAACACACACACACACCCAAAAATTTAGTGAGAAGAATTACATTTTTCCACATTTCTTTAATGTATGGCTTACCAGAAGATGGCTAGATTCTTGTGTCTGCTGTGTTCAATCTATTACAATATTATGCATCATTTAATCACACAGTCATGAGAGAATGAAAGTGAAAAGGCCAACATTATTATTTTGAAAATACTTTTGATCTTATAGACAGATCCCCTAAAAAGGTCTTGGTATCCCCTAACAATCCCATACCTCACTTTGAGAACCATTGGACTAGTGGGACCAAGCATAGTCATCATTCTAACTTTCAGGATCCTGGTCTGTGCTGCATGAGGTATACTTCTTCCCTTAGCCTGTGGCTCCTAAAGTTTCATAGGAAGCAATTTCTACTGTTTTCAGAAGGAGAGAGAACCTGGGAGGCAAGAGGGAAAAGTCTAATACACTCATCCTCATTTCTACCAATTTTCTCAGTCCCATAGACGGCAGCACAACAAAGATAAACCCTTCAAGTGCCACAACTGTCATCGGGCGTACACAGACGCAGCCTCACTAGAGGTGCACCTATCTACGCATACGGTGAAGCATGCCAAGGTGTACACCTGTACTATCTGTAGTCGGGCATATACATCGGTGAGTGCTCAGTGTCTTCTTTTTCCTTTCTCATAGGCCTGTAGTCTAGAATCCACGTCACCTCATCTTTCTGGATAAACACTTTTTGCAGTGATTCTGCTATTTCCCTAGCTCCAACTTACAGAATCAGACAGAACAAAAACTAAACAGACCCATAGCTGAAGAATTTAGGGGATGCCTGATTTCTTAAGCCTATAGAAATCATTAAGCAATGATTCTTCATTTTACTTGAACATAAGGCAAAATAAAGCCACTTGAGAATTTGGGAGGAGAAAGATTTCAGTTACATATTTCCATTAGACTCTAGAAAAGGGTTTTAAAGTTGTTCCATTCAAAGATGTTTGAGAGAATGACAGCCTTTTCCTGTGCTAATCAAATGTCCATGACGACTCTAAAGGAGTGGTCACCAACCTTTTGGACCTCATGGACCACCAGTGGTCCGGGGACCACCGGTTGGCAACTGCTGCTCTAAAGGACCCCCCCCCCCTTTTTTTTTTTTAATATATTTTATTGATTTTGTACAGAGAGGAAGGGAGAGAGATAGAGAGTTAGAAACATCGATGAGAGAGAGTCATCGATCAGCTGCCTCTTGCACATCCCTCACTGGGGATATGCCCGCAACCAAGGTACATGCCCTTGACTGGAATCGAACCTGGGACCCTTCAGTCCCCAAGCCGACGCTCTATCCATTGAGCCAAACCGGTCTCGGCGCAAGGACCCCCCTTTCTAGCAGCAGTGAGCCCTGAAAGTGGCTCGTGGGGTGAACTTGCCTATGGCTTCAGAATATATCTGAGTGTAAGTACTGCTTTATTTAAACTAAGAGCCCAGGATGCTAGTTATATGTAACTTCTTTCCTTTTCTTTTCCCCCCTCAACTCTTTTTCACCATCTCTCCCAGGAAACGTACCTTATGAAACATATGCGCAAACACAACCCTCCTGATCTCCAGCAACAAGTGCAGGCAGCGGCAGCAGCGGCAGCAGTGGCCCAGGCCCAGGCCCAGGCCCAGGCCCAAGCCCAAGCCCAAGCCCAGGCTCAGGCCCAAGCCCAAGCCCAAGCCCAAGCTCAAGCCCAGGCTCAAGCCCAAGCCCAGGCTTCCCAGGCATCGCAACAGCAGCAGCAGCAGCAGCAACCACAGCCACCACACTTCCAGTCTCCTGGGGCAGCCCCCCAGGGTGGGGGTGGTGGGGACAGCAACCCCAACCCTCCACCCCAGTGTTCTTTTGACCTGACCCCCTATAAGACGGCGGAGCATCATAAGGACATCTGCCTCACTGTCACCACCAGCACCATCCAAGTGGAGCACCTGGCCAGCTCCTAGAGACCTGTGCTGCCACCCCCCTGGGAAGAGGGAGAGGAAGCTCTGGTCTCTTCTCACTTCTCTTGGTGGGAAACGTCTTCTTCCTTGACAGGCCTTGGCTCCATCTCCTTGGGCCTCAGGCACAGCCTTCCTTCACAGGATACCATCCTTATTCTCAACTCCTCTTCAAAAGGATTATCAGCCCTCCTGATTGGCAAAGGAATACTGAGCTGGTAGTGTAATCCAGCAGCCTCCCTCCTAAGCATAGCGTTTAAAAATTGGGAGTTGGTGCTCAAGGGGGGGGATTTGCTATGACCTCATAGAAACGTTTCCATTATGGGCACTTACTCTCTCCCCTTACCCTCATAACCTTCAAAGTTGAGGCTGATAGAAGACTAGAGGCTGGCCCTCCCGGATACCACAGAGAAGAAAGCCCTAAATGCAACCAGCCTCCTGTTCCAATCTTGCCTGTGTAAGAACAGAAGTTTCTCATGTGCCCTGACCACTGGGAGCCATTTCCCCCTCATGGTCTCACTTCAGTTTCTACCTAATGCTGGAGGAAGGAGATCTGGGTGGGGGTCAGTCTCCCTGTATTTGTAAAGGGGCATGAGCTGAGATGTGGTCCCCAAGGGGCCGGTGATCCCCAAATGGTCGAGGGTGGCTTGGAAATGTGGGACATGGTTTTCCTTGGAGCTTCTCCCCTTCTCTGCCAACCAAGGCCCTGTACTCAGCCTCCCCGTCCCAAAACTTAAGGAGCTGTGGGAGCTTTGTGAAATTGCGAACAAAGGAGTGTTGCACAGAAGGGAAAGTTCAGGGCAAACACAAGGACTGGACTTAGCTTCCTAGGTGCCACGGTCAGTTGCTGGACACGGATTTATATATAAATATATATATATATATATATAAGTATATATATACCCACTCATCACGGCCATTTTTGTTGTAACCATTTCTGTGTTTATAAATGCATTATCGCTGAGAATTTTCATATTTGATCTTTTGTTTATTTTTGTCCCTTTCTTACCCCCCCCCCCCCCCGTCTTCTGACCAATGACATTTTTATTTTTCTTTATCCTTTTTTTTTTCCCTCCCCCCCCAATCATGGCAGATTTCAGAGAAAAGAAAATTGAAAAAAAAAAGTCAGGAAACCAGTTGTTATAAAGCAATTTAAAATGAAGAAAAAACTTATGTACAAACCAAGGGGTGTTTTTAGAGCCTTGTATAGAAAGAAATAAATCCATGTAAAAGGATCAGAGGCAGTGGAGCTACTGATGTGAGTGAGCACGGGAAAAGCTATTTGAAGAGATGTTAAAGGCCAGGACTAAGAGTTTACACTAGAGTTTCTATATGTGAAGAACGAATGCCGTGTGATGAGACTATCCCCAGCCACAGATGGGTCTAGCTTTGATATTTCTGAAGTGAAATCTTGGTTGAGATTTTCTACATACAAATCTTACGGGGACTGCATTGCCTAAATATGTAACAGCAAGGTTTCAGTTGTGTTAAGACCACTAAGCTTGTCAAAGAATAGCAAGCATGGCCTCTGGAAAGGACCTTGTACTCCTGCCTGAACATCAGTGGGCTCAGTGCTAATTCCACTTGGCATGTGTCTATATACATGTATCTTCATTATGCTATGGCACCTAAAATCATAGGTTTCCTGTGGTGGGAACCATAACTGGGATTGAATAACATTGCAGGACAGTTTTCTGATGGTCAGAAAACCTGGACATTGGCCCTGGCTCTTCCATCAACCAGTGTTGGCCAAGATCCATCTTCAGCTGTTAAATGAAGGGATTGGACTAGACTATCTCCAAGATTCCTTTCTGAGAATTAAACAAAAAACCTTTAAGCCCTAGCCAGTTTGGCTCAGTGAGCAAAGTTGGCCTGCGGGCTGAAGGGTCACAGGTTCGATTCCAAAAAAGGGCATATACCTCAGTTGCAGGCTCCATCCCCAGTTGGGGCAAGTGTGGGAAGCAACCAATGTCTCTCACATAGTTTATGGCTCGCCCCATCCCACTCTTAAAAAAACAAACAAAAAACGGAAAAATATCCTTGAGTGCAGATTTAAAAACCAACAAAAAACCTTTAAGCACTGAAAGTGTGAAAAAGTTCCCACACCTGATAACATTGCTATCCTTTGGGACTGCTGGACAATGGTGCTCATTACTCAATGGTGTGAGATACTCAATGAAACTGACCCACTTGATTTATGGTTCAGTCTTTTGTGTGGGTATCCAAGCTAGTCTCCATCTGTGGTGTGACATAATGCATATCACAGGATCAAATATGCCAGTACTTGTTAGCTTCCTGAGTATTAACTGCTTCCCCAGCCCCAGCTCTCACCAGTTGAAAAGACCTCTGTAGCCCTACCTTCATCACAGGTATTAGAACCAGAATCTACTTTTTAAAAAATGATAATGCTCTATGAAGTGGGTACTGTTGTTCTCATAAGAAAGGAAATAGGCACAATTTAAATTACTTGTCCAGGGGCATGACGCTTCAGAGTGAAGTCTAGGTTCAGTTGCCACGTCTTACTGCATGCTCAGTAGAGAATGTGGGGTTTCACCTTATACTTTTTCACATATTTTGGTCTAAATTATGTGGTTGAAAACCTGTTTCATTAAAAACCTACTATGTAACATTGATAATCCTCAAGAATGTATGAGTTAGGAGTGACATTGATCTCCAAAATATTGTCTTATGTCACCATTAGGTTATGGATTTTGAGTTCTGTTTCACTAATGTGGTGGCAGCCCGATTGCTTTCCATGCTGATGAAAAGCATAGTTTTAACTGTACTGTAGTTGAGTAGGGTGATAGCTGGCGTCTAATTGGCCCAGTTGTGACAGCTCCATGTTCCAATCTTTTCAGAATCCTGGTGCTAGTTTACATCATACATAAACTCGAATAAAAAGGGAGACAAAAGCAAAAGGGGAAGGTCATTTTATGTGAGAATGTATTTGAATGTAAAATAGACAAGAATCCTGACAAAAGAAGTGTCGATAATGATAGATTTATTGTGAGGATTATAGACTTGTATGTATAAGCAAAGTTGATATGCAATCTACTTTTTCCATGTTAAAAAAAAAATCCTGGCGAGTTGGAATTCGTGTGAGTGAACACAAATGCCGATGTTTTGACCTCGTAACTCTCAATTTGCCTCCCCGACTTCCTTAAAAAACTAGCAACCTTAGAGGAAGTTCTGACTCCGCTGGGATCAGCTCTGGTCGCCAGATTTCTATTTTGCAAAAGGGACGAATGATCCCGCAGGTGCTGGAAAAGGGATATGTGTGGAAAATAATCCAAGAGACAGGTTTTTGTGGGTGGTTTTCGTTTGTTTTACCTCAAGACCGCACACACCCGTTTTGGAGGGAGAAAAAAGTTCGATTGAGGATGCAAAATGGCGATCCCGGTGACGTCATGACTGCCCCGGGCGGTCGCGTATCGAGCTCAGTGAGGGCGGAAGCGGGCTCCGCCGCTTCAGGCGCCTCTGCGGGCGGCCGGGATACTGACGCTGGAGGACGAGTGCGGCCTGCGCGCTGGTGTGTCCCGGCCGGTAAGCTACTGAGGGCGGAAGTTCTCCTCTTAAGGGCGGAAGGGCCCAAACCCAAGAATAATAGCTTCGGCGCCTGTCGTGTTTGAGGCACTTCCGGGGTGGATCGGAAGTTGCTTTGTTTTGCTTCAAGATGGCCGCGGGGATGTATTTGGAACATTATCTGGACAGTAAGAGCAGTCTGGAGGAGGGGGTCAGGGGTCACCGAGTGGTGGGGCGGGGGTCGGGGCCGAGGAGGTCTAAGGCCCCGAGGTCCCGGTGGTGAGAAGGTCACAATTGGGAAGGGCTTCCGGGAGAGAAATCCTGAAGGGTGTGAAGAAAGAGGGGGCGGGGCAGCAGGGTCGAACCCTGGCTTTTGGTGTAAGATGAGGGAGGGGCTGCGCGTTGGGGCTGGGGCATGTGGCTTGAAGAGGAAATATTTGCTGGCCCCATCTTCAGGGTCTTCAACCTCTGGGTATATATTTTTTTCTCAAAAAATTATTCCGAATCTTTCTTCCTTTTTGCAGAATATAAATCTGGTCGTTTTAGCATATCACTCACTGCCATTTGGAGCAGCCACAAAGATCTCGAGGCTCCTCCGCTTAGTTCTTTCTCAGGAATGGTTTCTCGTGGGGATGGGGGCTTATGAGTGACCACTGTCAGATGATGAACTGGAAGGTTTCTCTTCTTGGAGTAAAGATCCAATCCCCATCAAATGGAAATCTAGTGTTATATTTATACCGTTTATGTAACCCACCCCTTCACAAAGCCTGTGTTGGGAGTCATTCAACCATTCGTTCATCGATTCCTTTATTGAGGGTTTGCTATGGTTCAGACATAGTGGCAGGTACTGGGGATATAAAAAAACTAATAAGACACCCCTTACCCTCAAGTGCTCATAGTCTAGTAGGAAACAGATTCTGCTAATAAATATAAAAATGTGGCAAGTGGAATACTAAAAATATGTTAAAAGGACTCTTGGTAACAGTGGAGAAGCTAGTGATCTACCAGAAGAGTCTTGAAGGTTGAATATTTTGTCATGTGGAAAGAGAATGGGAGTTGCAGGTTGGGAAAAGCATCAGCAAAGGTGATGGGTTTGTGGCAAGGTTAGGGAAAAGGAAGGTCAAGAGTGTTTGCTATGTAAGACTCTAAGGTGAAAGAATGGGAAGTGAGACTGGAGAAAGCGGCGGGGCTACCAAGGTCTTTTTAAAGCCAAGCTAAGAAATTTGCACTTTAGTGAGGAACCAACAAATTGTTTTAAATGGAGTGATTTTTATAAAGGAAAACAACTGATAAATGGTCAATTGGAGCATGATAGTCTTTGAAATAGGGAGATCAATTAGTGATAACAGTCCAGCTCAGAGATGAGAACCTTATCTCAGGGGGTGACAGAAATATTTAGGAGTTAAATATGACAGGACTGACTGAATGAGTAAAAGGGTTAAGAGAGAAGGAAAGATCTAAGGTGACTTCTTAATTTGCTGTTTGGAAAGTAAAATAGGTAGTATGTCATCAACAAGATATGAAATTCAGGAGTAACAGCAATATGCTTAATTCAATGTAGACTTAAGTATAGGAATGATCATTGTATCCATAAGAATGAATGAGCTCGAGATCACTCAGAAAAAAACAAGTGAGAAAATGAGAAGGCTTGAGAGTAACCTCAAGAAAACATTAACATGTAAGGGACAGGCTTTGAGAACACCAGTGTGGGAATTACCAGTAAGTATATGATAAGAGATTCAGAATCCTAAGAGGAAGTAAGTTACTCAGATGAGAGAAGATGGCACCAACTGTTGTAGATAAATAGGATAGGACTGATAACATCATTTGCTTTCATAAGTCATTGGTGACTTAAAGTAATCTCAGTAAACTGGTGATAGCAGATCTGAGGTTATAAATTAAAGCAGTGGAGGCATTTTAAAATTTGAAGTATAGTCATGCAAAGAGATTTTTCTTTTATAGGCGAGACTTAAGAATTCATGCATTTCTACAAGTATTTATTGAGGACCCTCATATGCAAACCATAGTTCTAAACACTAGAGAAGAAGGAGAAGACAAGCATGCCCAACCCTTCTGGAAGGCTGAAGAGACAGATATAAAAAAATTAATTACACAATTATTTAATGATAGTTGGATAAGTGCAAAGTATAGAGCTAGAATAACTTGACAGCAAAATTCAGGCACTTACTTGAGTATGGGAGAGTCAGGGTTGAACTGAATTTTGAAGAATAAACAGGAAGTTAGCAGGCTGAGAGCTATGGTGGAGGTGGAATGAAAAAGACCAGGTACATTCCAGGCACAGAGAGTAGCATGTAGGAAGTCAAGTGGCAAGAAGATTGCTGGCAAGTTCCAGTCAGTTAGAGAAGGCCAATATGATCAGAGCAGAGAGCACAGAGGAGGACTGACATGAATTAAGGCTGGTGTGAGGTAAGCAAGGGCCAGAAAGTGCAGAACAGGACTAGGAATCGTGCTATAGAAAGTTACTATTAGGTAAGTGACTTGATCAGATTTGCATTTGGCTCAGTGGTAGAGCGTCAGTCTGCGGACTGAAAGGTCTCAGGTTTGATTCCGGTCAAGGGCATGTACCTGAGTTGCGGGCACATCCCCAGTAGGGGGTATGCAAGAGGCAGCTGGTCGATGTTTCTATCTCTCTATATCTCTCCCTTCCTCTCTGTAAAAAATCAATAAAATATATATTTTTAAAAACGATTTGCACTTTTTAAAGGAACAGTCTGGCTACTATATGGAGAACAGATTGGAAGTGAGTATGTGATGAGTAGTGGAGGATACCAGGAGGATATTTGTACATTGAGAGAAAGGAGCTTGGAGGCAGAAATTGAAAATAAGGGAAAGTGAAGAGCTAATTTGTAGAGTCACTGAAGGGGGAAAGGATTGAAAAGCTGTGCAGAGATGGAGAGGTTAGTTGTAGAGAGAGGCAGACACAGCCTCTTCTGAGGAAGGAGTGATGAATGCTGTCCCAGAGCCAATGGTTCAAAGGAGGGGAATTTGAGTACTGTTGTGTACTTTCAAGACAGCTATAAGGCCTATGAAGCCCAGTGAGTTTCAGTTAACCCTCTTCTTCCTAGGTATTGAAAACCTCCCCTTTGAACTCCAGAGAAACTTTCAGCTCATGAGAGACCTGGACCAAAGGACAGAGGGTACGTACAGAGTAAGGAGTCCATGTGAATATTGAGTGTATGTGCTATTTCTTTTTCTGTTCTGTGTTACCCTGTCATCTGGTCTGATCTGAAGAGCCCTGGCTTCTCTCTTTTTTATTCTCTTGCATTTCTTAAAATGAGAGTAATGATGATCTGCATTTCTATATCAGCCTTTCCGTAATAAATGGAATATTGCAACAATGCCTCAAGAATTCAGAGATGCTGTGTTCTTTATATCTTCCTCAAGAAGAATTCAACAAACTAAAAGCCCACACTAGAATCATGTCTGTTCTCCGTGTTTAATATATTTATAGGAAGGCGAAACTTTCTACTCCATTGTTAACGTAACTGTCACAAAATGCAGTGTGGCTTCAGACTGCAACTCACGTTGGTAGACAGGAGCTTTGCTGTATCACAAGTTCTTAAAGAGAGAGAAAGGAAAAAAGAAGAAAAAGCAGCAATTAATGTCAGGATCTCTACACTGTATTCTTCAACCTTACAGAAGCACTAGATACCATCTATGGCCTTCCTTGGAAGTTGAACAAGTTTGGCTGCATTGAGGCATTCACTGGGAGCCTGAGGCTACACTGCAGTGGTCAGGTTGGTCTCTTCAGAGTCAAAGGTGTCTGTTGGAGCTATCCCACACACCTGCTGAAGAATATATAGGTCTTATCTTCCATTCTTATGAAACCATGCTCAAGAATATAATATGCTGATAATACCGAAAACTGTAACTTAAGTTACTCCGGGTAAGTTTACTCGAAAAGGTGAACATCATCTGAAATCTGGATATATGCCCTTAAGAACTGCCTGCTGAATTCTGAGAACCAGCTTGCTCTCTTTGTAATACAGTTCCAACTCTTTCTCTTGCACAGAAAGGCCACTTGGAGATTATCAAGATTATTCTTCAGCTTCTTCCAAAGGCCTCGAAGAAATGGGGCATAAGCATAGTGTGTGTGCAGTCTTTCCTGTTCTCTGTTGCTGCACTGTTAGTCATGCTTCTGTCTCTTTTTTGTTGACTTCTTTTTTTATGAGTCCTATCAAATATTAGGCAGTAGATACCTATAGTCTGTGTCTTGGGACATCACCAGCCTTTCAATATTAAAATGTTTGGAGCAATATATGTAAGATAACAAACAGAAAAAAAGTGATGAGAACTATAAGCAAGTTGCAAATGATGAGCAAAAAAGGGTGGACAGTAAGTAGAAGAATTGTTATGTCTCATTTTAAATGATGAGCCATAAATGCACAGACCTGGAAGCCAGCAGCAGCAGATAACCCAATCTGTTTACAGCACTTAGCGCTATCATGGCATATTTTTGTGACAAAAAACCTTAAAATTTTGGCTTTTAAGACAAAAATTCATTCAAGAAGCAGCAACAAGCTCTGCAAAGAAACATCTTCAGACAGTAACAAAAACATAATTTGTATTAGTGCAGTAGGCAAAGGATCCTCATTATGTTTCAATAATTTAAGTTCCAACTCTGATAGCAAAGTTTGCAGCACCTGAAGGCACCTTTAAAACAAATATTGTCGATTTGTATTACTTGAGTACGTGGCACAGTATCTATGAACACTCAGTACGTTTTAGTTCAAAGGTTATGGTCAATGGAAAAGGTCCAAGGAAGAAGAGGAAGAGTGTGTATCACCTAACTACTCGGGCCATTGTGACCAGGCAGGCCTCTCTCTGTTGTAGACCTGAAGGCTGAAATTGACAAGTTGGCCACTGAGTATATGAGTAGCGCCCGCAACCTGAGCTCCGAAGAAAAATTGGCCCTTCTCAAACAGATCCAGGAAGCCTATGGCAAGTGCAAGGAATTTGGTGACGACAAGGTGCAGCTTGCCATGCAGACCTATGAGATGGTATGGCCCTGTTCATGGCTCCCCACACTTCCCGTCTATTCCTCAGGGTCCTAGACCCCTCCTTCATCTGTGTTGGGATCTGTTTTGGGCCTGGGAGATTCATAAAATCTGCCTTCGCCTAAAATCTGTTTTCTTTCACTGGAACCAGCCTTTTACCTCTATTTCTTCCTTTCCACCCAGGTGGACAAACACATTCGGCGACTGGACACAGACCTGGCTCGTTTTGAGGCTGATTTGAAGGAGAAGCAGATTGAGTCAAGTGACTATGACAGCTCTTCCAGCAAAGGCAAAAAGAGTGAGGAGGGGGGTGGGCTCTGAGAAGCGGGTCGAGGATTCAGAGAGAGAAGAAGCCAGCTCTTCAGCTAGGAGGGAGGGGTACCAGGTTGGAAAGAGGAGGAAGAAGGAGGACTTAACCTGTCTTTCTGTCTCCCTGCCTTTTGCCTTTCTCCTCTTCCCTAGAAGGCCGAACTCAAAAGGAGAAGAAAGCTGCCCGTGCTCGTTCTAAAGGGAAAAACTCGGATGAAGAAGCCCCCAAGGCTGCCCAGAAGAAGCTAAAACTTGTACGCACGTGAGTTATCAGGGAGCCAAATGACATCCTCTTCTCTCCCATGGCCCTACTCCCACCCTGCACTGCCCCTTGCCACTTTCTCTGTCCTCTTCAGGGCTCCCCATAGACCTCCCATCTATTCCTCAGGGTCCTAGACCCCTTCTTTCTTCGCCTTACCATTTTGTTATCTGCTGGACAGAGAGAAGCAGCACCAAATCACTTGCCCACCAGGATCTCCTTTGACCACCTCTGAGCCTCAAGTAGTAGCTTCCCTTCCTGCAGATGACACTTGCTTTTCCTCTTGGCATACAGAAGTCCTGAGTATGGGATGCCCTCAGTGACCTTTGGCAGTGTCCACCCCTCTGATGTGCTGGATATGCCTGTGGATCCCAACGAACCCACCTATTGCCTTTGTCACCAGGTCTCCTACGGAGAGATGATTGGCTGTGACAATCCTGATGTGAGAACAATTTTGCCTCAGGATGGCGGGTTCTGGGGACATGAGGTAGAAACAAGAGAGGGGAAAAATGGTTAAATAGTGGGACATCAGGATAGGAAGAAGGTGTTTGGGGTTTTGGGCCTTGGGACCTCTAAGAATTCTTCGAAGGAATGGGATAGGGGAACATTCATGAGGAATTTATGAAGGGGGGCTTCTTTTTTCCCTCTGTCCCACCCTGCCTTGACTTCCGCTGCTTCCGTCTTTTCCAGTGTTCCATCGAGTGGTTCCACTTTGCCTGTGTGGGGCTGACAACCAAGCCTCGGGGGAAATGGTGAGTGAGAGAGTTGTGGTAGGAGCTGGACTGCCCCTATGCTGAATGGCAAGAGGGCATTCTTCCTTTCACTCACTTTCTCCCTCCCCTTCTCTATCATGTTCTATTTGTTTCTTAGGTTTTGCCCACGCTGTTCCCAAGAACGGAAGAAGAAATAGATAAGGGCTTTGAATTCTGACATAGTTTCTTCCACATCCCCTGACCTGGACTAGTGGGGAGAGGAATGCCTGTGCTGGGCCAGAGGGTTCAGGGAGAAGTGAATGGTGCAGTGTTGCCATCCTTTCTCCTCCCCTGTCCCCACTACTGGTGCTGAGGCTGCATTCAGAGCCTAGTAGAGAGGAATTCCGTAGCCACTAAGGGTATATGCTCTCATCCAGCCCTCCCCCTTCAGAAGGAAGTGGTCTTGCCCGCTGTCCTTTGCCTCCATGCTGAGGTAGGTGCTGTATTTCCAAGGGATGGTCCTCTTTACCCCCCTGGCTTTGTATTTAAGGACTGGGGCAATGGCATGGGGGCACTCCCCCAACCCTCCCAATTCCCCCCACCCTGTGAGGGGCTATGGTATATAAACTTTCATTGTTATCTTCCTTTTTCCATGGTGGGGGCTAACCCAGCTTGTCTGGGCTGAAGCCCTACTTGAAGGGCCACCCCTTCCTCTGTGCCAAGAGGCTTTGTCCTGGCCTTGTGAATGGGAGAGGGGGCAAGGTGGAATGCAAATAAGCCACATGTAAAGGAACTTGGGTAGGTGAATAAAAGCTATACCCATTGGCCTGCTGTGTTTCTTATAAAGATACCATTTTAGTATATGTGCTAAGCGTTTATTTATTTACTTACTTTTGCATTTCTGGATTGGAGAAGAGGTGGGAGGATGACATGCCAAAAAATCAAGACACAATAGGGAACCAGAAGGGAATGAGAATCCACAACTTCTCAACTTGGAAAGGACAAAGCTGACTGGCTGGGTGGGGTGTGTCTCAGACTAGGGTTTTCCACTGGGAAACCACTTCCCTATACTGAGCTCCCCGCACCTGACCCTTACTCTTTGTTTCTCCTTTCGGCTCATATCTTACCTGGAGAATTCCTCTCTGGTTCCTATCCAGGTAGGCCCTGACTTTGTTTTGTATATTCCATGTCTGCCACCCCATAACCCTGCCTATACTTACATTTAGACCTCACTACCTAATTGGGCAATTTGTTTCTCAAAGCAGGTTTCTGAAAAATAGAGATAATAATAGTATCCAGAATGGGATTACCTTGAAAAAGAAATAAGGTGATGCACTTAAAGAGCTACATAAGATAGCCTGGCTGGCATGGCTCAGTGGTTGAGTTGAGTGTCGACCTATGAACTAGGAGGTCACAGTTCAATTCCTGTTCAGGGCACATGCCCAAGTTATGAGCTGGATCCCCTGTGGGGCATGTGTAGGAGGCCAGCAGACTGAAGGGTCCCAGCTTCAATTTTGGTCAAGGGCATGTACCTGGGTTGCAGGAGGTGTGCAGGAGGCAGCTGATTGATGTTTCTGACTCTAACTCTCTCCCTTCCTCTAAAAAATCAATAAAATATATTAAAAAGAAAAAGGGAAAAAAAATATACCATGATCAAGTGGGATTTATTCCAGGGATGCAAGGCTCATACACTATCTGTAAGTCAATAAACATAATATACCACCTAAACAAAATGGAGGATAATAATTACATGATAATAATTATATTAATACATGCAGAAAATGCATTTTATAAAATCCAGCACACTTGTTTATTTTTATTTTATTTATTTATTTTTTTAAATCATTGCTGAAAGTATTATGTATGTCCCTCTTTCTCCCCCATTAACCCCTTCTAACCTGCCTCCACCCCTTCCCCAGGCCTTCACCACCCTATTGTCTGTGTTCATGGGTTATTGATATGTGCATACAAGTTCTTTGGTTGATCTCTTCCCTCTGAGATACCAGTCTGTTCCCTGCTTCTGTCTCTGGATCTATTTTGTTCATCTATTTATTTTGTTCATTAGATTCCACATGTAAGTGAGATCATGAAATACTTGTCTTTCTCTGACTGGCTTATTTTGCTTAGCATAATACTCTCCAGGTTCCTCCATGCTGTCTCAAATAGTAAATGCTTCTTTTTTACTGCTGCTTAGCATTTCATGGTGTAAATGTACCAAGCTTTTTTTTCTTTTCTTTTTTTTTAAATATTTTATTGATCTTTTACAGAGAGGAAGGGAGAGGGATAGAGAGCTAGAAACATCAATGAGAGAGAAAAACATCAATTAGCTGCTTCCTGCTCACCCCCCACTGGGGATGTGCCCACAGCCAAGGTACATGCCCTTGACCAGAATCGAAACTAGGACTTTTCAACCCGCAGACTGACGCTCTCTCCACTGAGCCAAACCAGTTTTGACTACCAAAGCTTTTTTATCCACTCATCTACTGATGGGCACTGGGGCTGTTAACTGATCTTAGCTATTGTAAATTGCACTGCTATGAACATGGAGGTGCATACATTCTTTATGATTGGTGTTTCAGGTCTCCGAGGATATATTCCTAGAAGTGGGATCATTGGGTCAAATGGCAGCTTCACATTTAATTTTGAGGGGAAACTCCATATTGTTTTCCATATTGGCTGTACCCATTTATAATATAAACTCTTGACAAAGTGGGAATAGAGGAAACATACCGCAACATAATAAAGGCCCTATATGACAAAGCCAGAGCCAACATCATACTCAATGGGCAAAAACTAAGATCAGGAGCAAGACAGGGATGTTGGCTTTCACTAATCTCATTCAACTTAATATTGGAAGTCCTAGCTACAGTGGTCAGACAAGGACAGGAGTGGGCTGGAAGAGGTTAAGGGTGGTGTGGGGTGGGAGGAGGACCTGTGTGATACTTTCAACAATAAAGGTTAAAAGGGAAAACATGCATACAGAAAATCACAAAAGAAGAGAAAAAAGGCATCCAAATTGGCAAGGTAGAAGTAAAACATTATTTACAGATTACATGATACTATATATAGAGAACCATAAAGATTCCACCAAAACACTTCTAGAACTGAAATGAATTCAGTAAAGTAGAAGAATACAAAATAACTATCCAGAAGTTGTTTGCATTTTTATACACCAATAATGAACTACCAGAAAGAAAAACTAAGAAGACAATCCCATTTGTAATTACATTAAAAAAGCAACACCCAGCTGAAACTGGTTTGGTTCAGTGGATAGAGCCTGCGGACTGAAAGGTCCCAGGTTCGATTCTGGTCAAGGGTATGTACCTTGGTTGTTCAGGCACATCCCCAGTAGGGGGTGTGCAAGAGGCAGCTGGTCGATGATTCTCATCGCGATGTTTCTAACTCTATCCCTCTCTCTTCCTCTCTGTAAAAAATCAATAAAATATATATATTTTTAAAAAGCAACACCCAGCCAAAACCGGTTTGGCTCAGTGATAGAGCGTCAGTCTGTGGACTGAAAGGTCCCGGGTTCGATTCCGGTCAAGGGCATGTACCTTGGTTGCGGGCACATCCCCGGTAGGGGGTGTGCAAGAGGCAAGTGGTCGATGTTTCTCTCTCATCGACATTTCTAGCTCTCTATCTCTCTCCCTTCCTCTCTGTAAAAAATCAATAAAATATATTTAAAAAAAAAAAGCAAAACCCAAACACTAGGAATAAACTTAACCAAGGATGTAAAAGACCTATACTTGGAAAATTGTAAGACATTGAAGAAGATTAAAATAAATATGGAAGCATGTACCATGTTCATGAGTAGAAAGAACGTTACTAAAAATTTAGACTACCCAAAGCAATCTATAGGGTCAACACACTTTCTATTAAGATACCTATGGTATATATCACATAACTAAAAATTAATATGAAACCACAAAAGAACCCGAATAGCAACAGCAATCTTTTTTTCTTTTTTTTTTTTAATATATTTTATTGATTTTGTACAGAGAGGAAGGGAGAGAGATACAGAGTTAGAAACATCGATGAGAGAGAGTCATCGATCAGCTGCCTCTTGCACACCCCCTACTGGGGATATGCCCGCAACCAAGGTACATGCCCTTGACCGGAATCGAACCCGGGTCCTTTCAGGACCCAAGCCAACGCTCTATCCATTGAGCCAAACCGGTTTCGGCAGCAACAGCAATCTTGAGAAAGAACAAACTTGGAGGAATCACACTACCTCATATAAAGTATACTACAAAGCCATAGTAATCAAAACAGCATGTTACTTTAAAAAGTAATAATAATAGTTGAGCCTAGCCAGTGTGGCTCAGTTTGTTGAGCGTGGTCCCATGCACCAGGAGGTAGGTCACTGGTTCAGTTCCAGCTCAGGGCACATGCCCAGGTTGTGGGTTCAGTCCCAAGTAGGGGAGGATGCAGTAAAATTTTGAACATTTCATGTAGCAATATTGTTTGTGATATATCTCCTTGGGCAAAGGAAACAAAAGAAAAAAGCAAATGAGACCACATCAAACTAAAAAGGTTTGGCATAGCAAAGGAAGCCATCAACAAAGTAAAAAGATAACCCACTGAATGGAGAACATATGCACCAATAAGGGGACATACAGATGGCCAATAGACATATGAAAAAATGCTCAATGTCACTAATAATCAATAAATACAAATGAAAAACAGTAGAGATATCACCTCACACCTGTCAAATGGCTGTCATCAATAAATCAACAAACAGTCGAAACCGGTTTGGCTCAATGGATAGAGTGTCGGCTTGGGGACTGGAAGGTCCCGGGTTCGATTCTTGTCAAGGGCATGTACCTTGGTTGTGGGCATATCCCCAGTAGGGGGTGTGCAAGAGACAGCTGATCGATGACTCTCATCGATGATTCTAACTCTATCTCTCTCCCTTCCTCTCTGTACAAAATCAATAAAACATATTTTAAAAAAATAAAAAAATAAATCAACAAACAACAAGTGTTGGCAAGGATGTGGAGAAATGAGAACCCTTGTTTACTGTTGGTGGGAATGCCAATTGGTGCTGCCACTGTGGATATTAGAGGGCGTTTCCTCAAAAAATAAAATGAAACTGTCTTATGATCCAGTGATTTCCACTTCTGAGAATATATCTGAAGGAACCTGAAACACTAATTCGAAAATATACATGCATCCATGTGTTCACGGCAATATTATTTGCAATAGCTAAGATTTGGAAGCAGCCCAAGTGCCAGCCATGGATGAGTGGATAAAGTAGCTGCGGCACATTTACACAATGTAATAATATTTGGCCGTAAAAAAGAAGGGAATCTTGCCCTGGTTGGTGGTGTTAAGTGATTAGAGCATCAGTCCATGCACGGAAGGGTCTCAGGTTCAGTTCCTGGTCAAGGGCATGTACCTGGGTTGTTAATTCACTCCCCACTCCCCTAGTCTGGGCCCATCGTGAGGCAACCAATTGGTGTGTCTCACATCAATATTTTCCTTCCTCCCTCCCAGTCCCTTCCTCCCTCATTTCACCCTCTCTGAAAAGCAATGGGAAAAATATCCTCTGGTAAATATTAACAAAAGAAAAAAGAGGAGCTGAAAAGGGTTTGGCTCAGTGGATAGAGCGTCAGCCTGCGGACTGAAGAGTCCCAGGTTCAGTTCCCGTGAAGGGCATGTACCTTGGTTGTGGGCACATCCCCAGTAGAGGATGTGCAAGAGGCAACTGATCGAGGACTCTCATCAACGTTTCTAACTTTCTATCTCTCTCCCTTCCTCTCTGTAAAAAATCAATTAAAAAAAAAAAAGAAGAAGGAAATCTTATCTTTTGCAACAGCATGGAT